ACAAATAATGTTCAATTTTTATTAAAAGATGTGCTAGTATTTCTTATATGAAAGCAACGTTAATTTCGGACTAATTGGAACGGAATTGAAAAGAGCTATAAAGTCGATAAACGCTCCAAACAAATATTTAATATTACTTTCAGTTTTAATTATAATCTGTAAATAAAATCTTATAAGCAGGATAAAGGTAATATTTTATAGTTAGTCATTCCGCCATCGTGTACCGCAATCATGCATGGTTTTTTTCATATAGAAATACATTAATGCTGATGTCCTAATAACTTGACATTTTAATAATCATCACTAGCAAACATATAAAAAATTATGAAATTTACAATTTTTTTATTGAGGATAACAACCAACTAACCGAAGACTTTATTTTTCCTATAACTTACTTTTAGTTATCTCATAAAGATTAAGAAAAATAAATGAAAATGATTTTTTGGTGCAAAATAAAAATGACTTATATCTTACATGTTTTTCAAAAAAAAAAAATCATTGCCTTTAGTTTTTTTTATGAGAGAGAATCTAATTGTTAGTGGGGTTGGTGAAATTACGATTATTATTGAGACTGAAACACCCCACAATTAGCTGCATCTCGGCATGTCTTGTCACTAATTACTGTAATTAACGATGCTTTTATTAACCAAATCCTGTGATTAATTAAAATACTAAAAGCAAACCCCCCCCCCCAAAAAAAGGTTGAAATCAAGAGACAAGAGAATCATAAATCAATTAATCAGCACCTAATTGTTCGATCTATGTTTTTTTATGTTCCAGAATCCTATGGTTATTTTAATTAATTCTCAATGTGTTTTTTTTTTCTGGTTATTCAAAATGTCACGTCTTTATTCTAGAAGCAGAGGATTTATGATGATAAATATTACTCCTCCGGTCCTTAATATAAGACCCATTTAACTAATTTGATTATATTAAAGAAGTTAGGTAAGTTAGTTAATTATGAGAAAAGTGACACATTTTTCCTAAAACACCATAATCATCTTTCTTAATACCCCATTTCTCTCTTCCACTTGATTATGGTTGAGATAGTATTTATAGGGGTAATTTAGAAAAAATTAATAAATATGAAAAATGGGTATTATATTAAGGACCAAAATCAACTCAAAAATTGGGTCCTATATTAAGAACTGGAGGAGTAGCATTTAATTCTTTTTGATGTTTCATTATTTGGTCTAATTAGTAATTAAATTACGGTTTGTCGCCTTTCCTTTGGCTCAAGAGTAATTAGCATTCCTTAATTTATAGTTGGCAGATTTGGCTAATTCTAATTTTTTTTATCACAGAAAAAAGTAAGTCAAGAATTGTTTTGCCTATTGACCAGCAACCAATATATAAATTAATACACAATAAAATAAAAGCATTTATCTATTTTGTATGTTCTTCATGAAACAGTAATACGTTCATAATGATATATGACTTTTTAAGCAAAAATAATTATATATGAAATCAAAAATTAATTATATATGACGGAGAAAATATTTTTAGAAAAGTTATTTTCAATTAGATAAAATAATATTACCTCTAGTTCTAAATATAAAACTTTGTTTGACTTTGATTTCGATTCTAAATATAAGATCCCAATCCACTTTGTCTCTCATATTTACATATTTTTTTAAAATAATCCTTTTAATAATAGTAGTTCTAACAAATACATTTCATTAGTAAGGATATTTTAGACAATACAATATCTATTTATTACAAATAACTAACTTAACTTAATTTTTTTTAATCTCCTCAAATTAGTCAACTAGCTCTTATAATTAAGACCAGAGGTAGTACTTAAATACTATCTCTGGTTCTTTATATAAGACTTCTTTTGAATTTTATTTTGATATTAAATATAAGATCCCAATACACTTTGTCTATAATATTTGTACTTTTTTTTTCAAGATAGTCCGTCTAACAATAGTAGTTCTAGCCAACATACTTGATTAACAAGGATGTTTTAGAAAGGACAATATTTATTTATTACAAATAACTAACTTAATTTATTTTTTTAATATCCTCAAATTAATTAATTAGTTTTTATAATTAGAAAAGAAAGTAGTATTAAATATAACAGTTTTTTTTCTCAAAGAATTAAAAAAGATGGAACACTGAGCGTGCGATTGACGCATGAGCTGGGCAGAGAGGCGACAAACGACACAAGCTCGCAGCCTTCTTTTACTTCTTTCCGGCTCTGTGCCTTGCGGGTTGCGCCTTTGACGTGGAAAGACGACATTAAAGAATATCACAAAAAATATCTTAAAAATAAAAAAATGAAAATAAGTTATAATATTAATATTGATTTTAACAACAATTAATAAACAGGTGGTAATAATTTTACAAATAGGTCCTTATATGTAATTTATTAATTTTGAAGATTTTTGTTTGCAATTTTATCTTTTCCTTTTTTTAAAAAAAAAGATCCAATTCGCATGTTTTGTTTTTTTTTATTTCTGTTATATATTATTTTCATTACGGGGGTGTTTGGATAACCTCAAATCATGGTTTGGAGAATAGCTTCTGGAGAATAGATTTTGGAGAGAATAGATTTTGAAAAAATAGCTTTTCTGAAGAAGTGATTCTGATAAAGTGATAGTGTTTGGATAGTTGTTGTCAGAAGTGCTTTTTTATATGTAGAAATTAGTAAGAAGGACGTAAGTTTAAATGATAATTACATATAAGATATATTTCATAATATATGTTTATTTGAAGTAAATAAAAAATATTAATAAAAAAATTAATACGTATATATATTAATAAAATAAATAAATATGTTTTTTTTGCAAAATAATTTAAGAAATCATGATAAATATTTCGAGTGAGTTTTAACACAAGATGTTTTTGAGCTTTTCAACTTTTCTCTTTCCTTTTTGTCCACTCTCCTACTTTTTTTAGTTATCTTTTTATATTTCTATAGAAAAAAAAAGGAAAAATTACATTCAGATTTCAAAAAGAGATTTAATTATTATAAATTCCATCAATGAATGAAGAGTAAGTAATGACAAATTTTAAAATAAAAAATAATAATATATTCAGGCTGATCACTTGTCATTGAGATTTTTTTATAATTAAATTTTTTTTGAGACTTCTGAAAAATTCTCCTTAAAAAAATTCGTTTAATTTTGAGAAGCTGTTGCATTCATTTTTATTGTGTCGCGGAATAACTTTAAAGAATTGTATCCTCGTAGCCGGACTTGAGCCAAATATTTTTGGGTAACTCCAGCAAATTTTAATTGTACAAACAGATAGATCTATTTTTAAATTAAACATATTGTTAATGGCGTGCCGGAGAAATCATTAGAGCCCCTGCTAAAATCCCAGACCATAAAACCTCGAACCTAAATTAAGAAATAGGGAAATGTGAAGAAGTGAGAAAATATAAGAAGATCAAGGGAGAAAGATCAAGTAATTAATTTCTTATTCACTTGAGATTAAAATGTGAAGCTTGGGTCATAGGCCTCCAACCACTCCTCCAACTACAGACCAATAACATTGTAAGACACTGAAAGCATATTCCCCCAAGAATTGACTTTAATTTTTTCAAATACTAATAGGATATTTGAATGGAAACCAAACTATAATTTTAAAAATATTTTTATAATTTATGAAGTAAATATATGAAGATAGTAGAAAAGTTTATCTCATTTTATAAAAAAATATTTTTGAGAAATACTTTTTAAAGTTACCAAACATTTTTTTAAAATAACTTATTAAGCTGTTATATCATATGCATAAAAAGTTAGAATTCCAGCATCCGTACGTCTCTGGTCCCATCAAGGTAAGGAAAAAAAAGTTTTTTTAATCTTATTTAAAAGTCAAGTTATTAAATTTTTAACATGTAATATAATAATTAGGAATAAAATTATATATTAAATTTATTTAGAAGTTAACAAGATTTTAATTTTTTTTATTTCAATAGAACATGTTAAAAATAACTTATGAATAGACTGGGAGAAATCTTCAATGTTTGCAAATTATCATAATGTTCACAATGTTTCTCAACGCAAAAAAAACCAATATTAATTTATTTATTCAGTTCTTAGTATAAGATCTATTTATTTAATTAATTTTAATCCTAAATGTAAAATATATTTATAATATTTATTAATTTTTTTAAATTATCTCTGTGGATATTTTATCAATCATAATTAAATAGGAGAGAGAAAAATGATATTAAAAAAATGAATATAGTGTTTAAGAAAAATGTCATATTTTTTTATAATTAATTAATTAATTTAATAATTTTTTTAAAAAAATCACAATTAAAAACCCTAGAATTTGGAAGAGAAAAAAAACCCTTGACACAAATAGTAAAATTAAAGTAGTTTTTTTATCTGTGTTTTCCAAATTTCAGGATTTTTTTTGGATTTCTCCTTTTTTTAATGTAATTAAAGTAGTTAAATAAATATTATATTAATAGGAATTAGATGAGCATTAAATTATTGTCCATTGGGAGGCCATGGGCTCATGCGCCCAACGGAGAAACCTCACCCAACTACAGTCGTTGGATAGCGATATCCCTTGAGATTCCCACTAACGATAATTTTATTTAATAATTTTTTATCTAATAATTTATTCAATAAAAAAAGAAAAGAAAGAACCCAAAGGCCAATCCACGTACGTTTCCCACTTGTGGGAACTTCCACTCTCAAGTTTTACGTCATTTTGGCTTCATGTTGCCCACACCTGGCGCAACATCATTGGTCCCCGAAAGCGACCACAAAACGATATATCGCAGACCAACTCGCCATATCGTGAATATATCGGGATATCATCGTCGCATGTCATTATCCGTGGGCCCACCCAACTTTCTATCATCACCATTATCGAAAATTCCATTTTCAAAGTACAAGCCGAATGACAATTGTGCCCTCACACCCTCATCGAATTTACTCGTCGATGCCCCTCCATCCGGCGTCGAATTTCCCAGAAGCAGCATCAGAAATTATGGGGGAAAATATAATTTAAAAAAAAGCCAGAACGGAGACAAAGAATATCGTAAATAGCAATAATTTATCATTTCCAAACCATGGAGGAAAAAAATAAAAACATTTAGAAAAAAAAATCGAAGTTTCATCGGAAACAGGATCACAGAATTAATTCATCTTGGTTACAATTCCTCCGTCCCACACACGTACAAACTTTTTTTTTTCTGCTAACAATTTTCTAAATCTCTGAGCAAGAGAGATTGGAGGACCAGAACTCGATCGCTTAGAAACGGATCTTGGTTGTGTTCGTTCAATATTCCCTTGGAGATACTTAATTTCCTTTACCGGTTTTCAAACTTTCACGATCTTTGCGGCTTTGACCACCGGATTCTCCCTTGCGATCGCCTCACGTCCGGCGGCTTTGTAGTCGTAGCTGCAATCATGACGATCGGAGTACCTATGCTCAGCACAGAACAACTCCCCGCACCGGCACCGGAACCCCGTCAACCCGACCTTCCTCCGGCATCCGGAGCACCGATTCACCACCCGCTTCGCTTCAGACGGCGCCACCTCGTCCGTCTTCACCCGATCTGTTGTTTGCGTAGGCTCATCGGAAGGATAGGATCTCTTAGGAGACCGAGACAAGGTAGATCTAGAAGCCTTGTCATCGGCAAATTTAGAAGGCGCTGAAACGCCGGCGGCAGAGGAAGAGGAAGACGAGGAGGAGGACGCAGCGGCGGAGGTGGTGGCGTTGAAGCACTTCTGACACATGTTATTGGTGGCCGGATTGCCGGTAACACCGCAGTTGTTGACGCAAGGGATTATGGTTTCAGGGACCTTAAAATCGGTTTCTTCCTTTTCAGTTCTCTGAGCCATAATAACAAAAATAGTAATTCAATGCTCCGACGAAGGGAATCAAGGACGTGGAATCAGAGGGAGGGGGGGGAGGCAGAGGGGCTTCAGAGGATGAGAGAATGGCGGATTGGTGGCGTTGGTGGGGGGGATATGAAGAGATTGTAAGGTGGGTAATGGCGATGGAATATGAGCCTCATAGAGACGCGTATCCAACAACTTAACATCTTTATGGCGGCTGTAATGACCAATTTGTCCAACTGGTTTTGTTGATATTGTCAGACTTTTTTCTCCTTTTCTTTTCACGTCCCTGTCGCCCAACCCCTTTCCTCTCTCTCTCTCTCTGCCCTTTTTTTTCCCCAAAAAAAATATTCCTCCAATCATTTCCCTCCTCTGTTCTGCGCATAAATTTATGGGCCCTACGATGCGACGACGTTTTGTTTAACTAATGCCTTTTACAGAATAAAAAAACCGGACCGGATGGCTGGTTCAACCAGAAAACCGATAAACCGGTCAGTAATCCAATTTGGTTCATGGATTAAACCGGAGATTAGTGCGAACAGGATTGAACGGGTAAAAATTGGTGTGAATTGGTAATGAAACGGTTTAAATGATTATATTACTATTTGTCATGTTTCTCTTATTCAACTCCTAATATTTTAGTTATTATAAATTTAAATAAATTTTAATAATAATTTTGGTATCAATAACTATTAATTTTAGTTATTGAGGAATCATAAAGATCAAAATTCTCAATATTGTTGAACTTTATTATTATTACAATCAAACTATTATTGTATTTTCTTATATTTTGTTATTAGTGATTATTAGTATTGTTATATTTTATTATTTTCAATCAAATTATATTATTTTAATAAGATTGGTTTGATCCCGGGATAGTCCCGATCTGACTCATTGACTCTTAAACTATTATTTCAACCGGTTTAATGTTCGGATTGATTTTTTGTTCCTTGGCCTTTTACAGTTTTTTTTTGTTTGGATGAAGCAGTAACTAATCATTTTGTACCATAAATTTTTTGAAAGAACTTTAGTACTGGCTACGAGACTTTCTACATGCACATCCTCAGTGACTGAACCCCTAATTATATGCTTAAGAAACCCAACAAAATGTTTTCTACTTTAAAATAAGCTAGATTTGTCAATAAAATAGTGGGCAAATTGTCTAGTGTTCTGTGGCTAGTGCAGTTTTATTATTATATTCTATGATTACTTCGTTAATTGTTTGTATAATCGCTTCCTATCATATCCAAGTTGTGACAAAATCAGCGTTTTCTGACCACATGTGATCCTCATTTGTTAATTTGCTTGCCCATAATTTTTTATTAATATATTTGTTAAGAATCTCTTGCCCTGTTGGTGCTTTTTTTAAGGAGAAAATATCTACCATTAATATAAAAACACAATATAAAGTCTGATAACAAACATAATTCAACTTGAAAAATAGACAAAAGCAACCAAAAAAGAAAAGAAGAAAATGGGTTAACTATTGGTGCTTGTTTTGAGCTGCATAATTTTCGAAGGCAGGTTGACAATTAACATCAAGTACATTACATTTTTCAATAATAGTGTCGAGTGTCCCCAGAGAGAGCAGGTATTATTAGTATGGCCTGGCACCTAACTTCATAAATGAAAAAGGCTGTCTCATTAATTTCAAAACTTAAAAACATTATATTTTCATTTTGAAAGTAAAATACTTACATATAGTGGACTTGTGCCGATCTGAATATGAAAATACAAAATTTACAACAGATAAAAAGTATGCTGTTGTTAACAAATGAATACTTGAATGGGAATAGCACAATTTACCCTAAACTTTGTATAATAGGCACCATCTATAGTACTTGCTTTGGCTTAAAAAAAAAAAAAGAATTAGTTGAGTAACTTGTTTTTATTTTAAAGAACAATACTTAGGTTAGTTTATTATTTTTAGTATGGAACGTTTTTTAATCATATATGACTATGTGTCTTATTTTGTACGTGTGTGTTTATAGTTAAATCATAATATTTCAAAAAACAAGACATGTAACTATGTGTGACTAAAGAATTTGACATAATAAATATAAACAACTTGATATAAGTATAATTTGATTCTAAATATAAGATTTCAATTCACTTCATATTATAAATTTATATATCAAATAATCTGCATACATATTATAGAGTTTTCATCAATGAGGGTAGTTTTCAATACAAATGATTAAAAAATTATTTTAAAAAACAATATATATTTATTACAAATAACTAACTTACCTAATTTTTTTAATTTTTATAGTTAAGACTATATGGTTTTTTTTTTCTGTCTAGCATCTACTATATTTTTTTCTCTCTCTTTATCTTTTATCTTTTCCCAACATGATATTATCATGCTGATGAGATCCAAAATTTTTGTGCACTATTTTAAATTAGAAGTTGCAGACTTGCATGGGTTTTTTCTCAGAGTAGCATTGCCCCATGCAGGAATAGTTAAATGCTTTAGAGTTTCGCAAGCATCTCCTTTTTCCAGGCCAGCAGCGCATTAAGATGAGAAAATGAGCTAACCCTTGTATGATGCACTGATCACTATATATATACTCTTTGGGTCGTTAATATAAAACCCATTTAACTAATTTGATTAGATTAAAGAAATTAAGTAAGTTAGTTAATTATAAAAAATGTGACACATTTTTCTTAAAACACCATAATCATCTTTCTTAATACCATTTCTCCTTCTTCTACTTGATTATAGTTGATGGAGTATCCATAAGGGTAATTTAGAAAAAATTAATAAATATGATAAACGGGTTTTTTATTTAGGACCAAAAGCAACTCAACAATTAGGTCATATATTAAGGACCGGAATAGTATATATATTAATGAATATATTACATCAAAAATGAGATTTTTAAGATGTTTATTTCAGTAAGCGTGTATACATGGGATACTGACTAATTGGCCTGGTTTAAATAAAATATAAAAAAAATGTAAAATGTGGGTGATATATAAGGAAAGAATAATGTTTTTTTTAAAAAGTATTTAAATGATAAATGGATGCAAGTGGAGGGGGTTGGGATCTGATTGAAGTGCAAATTGGGAGCAAATGGAGGGTGCGTGTGGGTGTGGGGCGTGCCTTTGACGTTGGAGAAAGAAACTGTCCCTGCAAAAAGTGGGAAGAGAGAGGCAGTAGTGGGGGGCAGATTTGGAAATACAAAAAGTCGCCACGGTTTTGTGATTTGAGCCGCCCCATCTGACCCCCATCCTTTTCTCATACGTCCTTCCCTCCGCTACCGTGTCCCCCACGCGCTTACGACTCCCTCCCCTTCCAAGCTTCATCCCTTTCTTTGTCCTTTTCCATTCCCCCCCTATTTTGTAATATTTGTTTTACAAATATTTTTTTTAGTATTAATATAATTTTTTATCTTTTAAGTTTATCTTAGTTTTTATTTTACTCTCTTAAATTTTAAATTATAGATTTTGATGTCTCAAGTTTTTTATTTAAAATATTGATCCCTATAATTAAAATAAAAAGACTATTTTGCTCTTTGAGAGACCAAAACATAGAGTTTGAAACTTGATGGACCAGAACCATAATTTAAGGTAAACTTGAGAGACGAAACATTATATTAACTCATTTTTTATTATTGCCAATCTTATCTTATTCTTAATACTGGTAATTAGTCTTCTAGCCTTAAATTCCTTATAATTTATTACTTTCGTCAATCCTGTTAAGGAAAATCGTTAAAAAAAAAAGATTTTGAAATTAAAAAATTATGTATAAGAACCTGTTTATAAATATTATTATCAAAATCAATGCTAATATTGTAACGAATCCCTATTTACACTCTTTATTTTTAAGATTTTTTTTGTGATTTTCCATCCTATTATAAGATATATTTAAAAAATGTATGACATTTTAGCTAATTTATTACAATTTATATCCTCATTTATTCTTATATCATATCATTGCATTGATTTACAATTCTTTTATCTCTCTTTTCATACATAAGAGTACTTTTAGGAAATAACTAAAAGCTTCTCCCCGTGAGATGCACCAAGTAATGTCTAATTACATATTGTTAGGTTTCAAATAAATAAAATATCTTTATAAGATGTATTACAAGATATTTGATTCAATTAGGATATGTTTTTCTTAAAAATTGATAATTTTTTACGTATTTTTAAAGACATAGCGTTTCTTTTATAAAATAAAAAAAATAAGGCTTATGCATATGAAGTGTCCTCATGGCCCCTCTTATTTCACGAAAATCTCATTTCTCCCACCCCGAAATATTCATTTTTTGCTGTGTATTTTTAAAAATATAACGTTTTTTTTATGTAAAATGAAATAATAAAAATAAGAGAAAATTGCAAATAAAAGCCCCTTAATATGTAAAATTATAATTTGAGACTTTGAATTTGAAAAATAACAAACAAGGACTGGGTCCACTTTTACAAATATAAAATGTGGATAAAATATCTAAAATACCTCTTAACCAAATTGTGATTTGGTCTATTAAAATTGTTATTCGCTAAAATAAACTTGTTATTTCTCATAATCAACTCGTTATTTAGCATGCTCTTAGCTAAGTTGTGATTTAATCTATTGAAACTGTCATTCGGTAAAGTAAACTTGTTGTTGTTTTTCAAATTTAGAGTCTCAAATCATAATTTTACATATTAGGATGTCTTTATTTGTAATTTTTCCTACAAATAAAGCACACATATATAGAGAGAGCATATGTACGTATAAACTGATACAGGAGAGAGAAAGAGACGCAGGAATTTAAGCATTCGATTTCATGTTTGCAAACTGATGGAAGCTAAAATAAATTACAATCAAAGTACGGGTCTACGAACCAACAAGTGTTGTTTGAAGTAGAAGAGACTCGAACATTTTAAACATCATATCTTGGGTTCGACTCTTGAGATGATATGCATAGAAAAAATACTATTAAGAGGAGTCCTTACCACGGTGTCTGACAATACTCTAAGAGATTAGTTTTTTAACATTCGGGTGGGAAGATACTTTAGGCAACTAAAAAAAACATGGATCTACGATATTTCATAAGTATTAGTGGGTATTACATCGTTTCATAAGCATACTAAAAATATTATTACATATTTATTTTTTGGCCTGATATTTGATATTTATTTA